TTTTTTTTTTTCGTTTTGGTGACTTCCAGCAGTTTGTTTGTTTTGTTAAAATGACAAAGAGGAGAGCATGTAAACTGCACACAGAAAGACCCAGACCAAAGGAACATTGACCACAGTCTGTCAGCTTCCTGTGTTGCTTCGATAATGATGAGAACAGTTTAGTTGGCCGTTCTGAAACCATTTTAGATTTTTAGTTAGCCACTCAGGTATCATTGTCCAGAAGAGCTGAGGTTCTTGTTTTCAGCTGTTTTACTGTAAAGAACCTGATGTTGGAGCTCAACACGTATCTGATCATTACTGTAGTACTTTGTACTCAGATTCATACAGCTAAAGAGACAAGATAACCAGGACCATCTGGTCTTGGCCCGTCGAGGCTTCCTGTTGTCTTTGTTGGTGTTTTGCCTCACTTCCTGTAACCTGCTGTTCTGCCGGCTGTTGTTCCCTGAATCAACAGCATGGGAGGATTATTTTCTCTATAGAGCCACAGTCAGCAATAAGCATCAGTACTCAGAATAAGTCTGATTTACAGTTCTTTGTCCTCGTTGTAAAATAATATCCACGTTATAAACATAACAAACTCTGACTTTGTAAAATTAATGTAAAGTTTAAAACAAAGCTTTTACATTTGAGACATTTGTGCTTCTAGAAAAGATGAACAGAAGCAGCTTAGCAGTTGGTTGGAACTAAGCTGTGGTCAACGAGCCAACTGTGCCCGTCTGTGCACACACACACATACACACACACACATACACACACACACACACAGAGAGAGAGAGAGAGAGAGAGAGAGAGAGAGAGAGAGAGAGAGAGAGAGAGAGAGAGAGAGAGGCATGGAAGGATGATGGACAGCAGAGTTGGCATCATGCAGAAAACAACAGGCTCTCTGATAAAACATTTCCACATCAATAACTCAGAGGAACATTCGCGATCAGTTTATACTCAGGTTCTGTTGAAAACATGGTTTAAATGGGATTTTTTACACTATTTTATACCTGATTAACACATAATTAATAAATGTCCATGTTTTAAAATATCTGCTTCCAAGTTCATAGGTTTCCTTCTGATTTAAATAGTTGTTATATATAAACAGATGAAGACTGAGATTAAAAAGGAAGCAGCAGCACTTCCATTACCAGATATAATTACTACATATTGTATATTATTTAGGTGGAACTCTGTTGACTGCTGTCAAAATTCATATTTCATCTCATTTACAAAAGATGAAATTATCCACTTGTTTCAATGCAAAAATAATATTTATTCAAACAATATTTAGTTTTTATTTTTGGCGTTTTTTCCTAATGTGCACAGAGTTTGGTTTTAGGAAGCTCTACTTGTGTTTGTTTTTATGTTTAACTGAGATTTTTAGTTTGTAATTTTGAAAGAAATCTTTGTTATGAAAGTTTTTTTTCTCTGTGTTCAGTCTTTTTAAGACATTCCTGTGTCCTAGTTTTATGGTTTAGATTCTCTGAAAATAAAATCTGACCTTTACACTTTGCCTGCAACAAATCTCAGAAAAAAACACATGAATTTACAGTTAATTTGTGTTATTTTTACAAGTATTTATTTTCTAAAATATTTCATTGTAACAACTAAAATGTATTCTAACCTTTTTATTGTTTTGCAGAGTTAATGATGACTGTTCTGCTGCATCCTCTTGTGTTTTTTTCACAGTATTTTATTTAAAACATAATTTTGTATATTAAAGGGGCAATATTATTTGTTTCTCAGGCATACATTTAAATACTATACCATAATAAAGTATCTATGTCACCT